TGTTTTTTTGTTTGTTTTTTTAACAGATTTTGTTACTGGTTGGGTTATTGTTTTGCAGAGTAAATCCATTGCAGATGCTTGCAAATGTCTCATTTTGATCAAACACAAAAGATAATCAGTCTGCTTTCGTGAAGAACTACAGAAATCAGAGAATAATTGCTGAAATCATAGGATTTCAACAATTTTAAGTTAAACAATGGTGCCAAACGATTACCGTATTTTCCGCACTCGAAGGCGCTTCGGAGTATAAGGCGCACCATCAAAGAATGGCCTATTTTAAAACAGTTTTCATAAATAGGGCGCACCACATTATAAGGCACATAGTATAGAAGCTACAATAGTGGCTGCGATTGCATAATGCATCCACTAGATGGAGCTAAGCAAAAGTAAATACAATACTATACAGCTTTATCTATGAATAGCTTTCACAACTGCTGCAGCTGTAATGAAGCGCTTTACAGAACATATAAAATACTATGTCCAAGAAATCAGAATATTGATCCATAAATAAGGTGCACTGGATTATAATGCACACTGTTTGCTTTTGAGAAAATGGAATGTGTTTAGGTGCGCCTTATAGTGCGGAAAATACAATCCTCAGTTATTGAGATAGGAGTTGATTATTTGGATAATCGATTAGCTGCCAGTTAATCGATTAATTTTGACACCTCTACTGCCTACGCTCCATTGTCAATAAGTGTAAGAGCGGATGGAAGACATACATAGATATGTTCCTTTGAGTATCGCACTTTGACGTTGTTGAGTAGAGTGGCTTCATTCAAATACATCAGGGAGCCTGAAAAGACACAACAAACAACATGATGTTTTGTAGGACAATAGGTCGAGAGCTGAACATTGAGTTTCACTCACAGTTGTCCTCAACATGTTTGTTGACATCATCTTCTGCAGGAAAAACTTGGCTCATCGGCGCAAGGAATGTCTAAATGGGATGGATATAAGAATTGATGACTTCAGCGTTATGGATTCAGGCAATTGTGCAGGATTTATGACTGATGAATCCTAAATCCTAAATCTAAAAGTAGAATTGAAGGTTTAATTCACAGGTGCCAAACTCAAGGCCAGGCCAGATCCGGCCCACTGCCTCATTTTATGCTGCCCTCGAAAGAAAATTATGTGTGTCAACTTGCAGTATCCTTGCTAAAATCTATCCCGAAATATCTAATTGTCGTGTAATAAATAATGTTAAGATTCAGCAATAATGTTGTTACCCTGTTCACAATAACTGAACGAACTATTATAGTTGAGTTGACTAATTTCAAAACTAGTAACCCATTGATTTGTTGTTTTCAAGTAACAGTGCAATAACATGATTAGACATTTTTGTGGTTTCACTGTCAGGTTCCGCTGTAATCGATTAATTGATAATGACTAATTCCTCATAATCAATCAAGGAAACCTGCATGAGTTAAACCATCTCCAGTCTGAATCGCGGGTAGTTTACTTTTTTTAACGTCAAATACATGTCATAATCTAGTTTGGTTTCTCAATAAGAATAATTCCTCTTTAGTTCTTTGAGTCGCTTATGACAATACACAATGTTCATTAGAGTTGGTGGAAAGTGAAGCGATATTAAACATCATCAAAATCCAATCTTATGCATGCATTATCATGAATCAATTATCTGGCTTTAATATCACAGGAATGGCATCTGGAGGAATACGTTTCCCGGGCATGTGATATTCTCTCTCTATTGTGAAGCATTAATGAAAATGAACTCAATAGAAGAAGCCAGCTGTGAGAGAAACAAGGGCAGACATGGCGCAATGATGAATAATTTGGTGTGAACTGTAACAGGATCTGAACACCTGACTGACTGAGTGAACAAATGATGACTGCACTCTGTGCTGGGCCAGTGGGAACCAATAAAACGGATGCATTATTAAAATAAACCAGACTCCAAATATAACAATTAAGCAGCGGGAGTACAAGCACTAGTATTCCGTCTGAACCTGTATGACACCGTGTAACCTGAATCCTCTTAAAGCACGTAAAATTTGGAGTTCATCCATAATTTGAAGGGGGAAAAAATATGCCGAAAATGTAAAAATGTAACCTGTACTGTTTAATAAAGGCGGAACATATTTTTAATTATAAATCGATCTCAACAAGAAATGTAGTTTTGAATGTTTGACCAGTGTCACAGATTAAAGCAATCAGACCCAGCAACATGATTGCAGAGGAACAACAAACAAAGGTTACACCTTCATGTTCCCGCTTATTCACTCTGCACTGATGCACAGTTTATGATCACAAAAACAGACTGGAAGCAGACACAGAAGTACAATTTGTGGACTCATTGGACTAACTTGGCTCAAATCGGTGACAATAAAAAAAACACATGACAGATGCCAAAGCAACAAAACTGACAAAGAAGCGGCATCCAGGCCGAGGGTTGTGTACTCAGCTCAGCCGCTAACGAGCTCAGCTCTGCAATAAAGAGAAAGTGAGCGAGAGAGCGAGAGAGAGTTAGAGAGAGAGAGAGGGAGAGAAATAAAACGCTCAATGGGCCTTTCATACCCTCATTGAATGGGACACTCAAGCATAAACTTATGAACAAGTTCATGGAGGCCTAATTCAATGCTGAGTGCCGCGGTGATTAAAGAAACATTTCGGTCATGACAGAGCCATTCAGTGGGATTGATGCTTGGGTAAGGAATTTGAGTTGATTTGCCGATTCCCGGATTGTGTTTTGAAACCTATACCCTCCGCCCTCATTATCACTGAAAAACTCAACTATTTGCTGTTTCCGCTCAGACCAAAGCATTAAAAGTGTGACACTGGCACCATCTTGTGGAATATTGTTGGGTTTCATTCATCAATGGTGTTTTTTTTTTTTCTTTCCTCTGCGTTTGAGATGTCCTGTTTTGTTTGACGCTGCTGTAAACATGCAAGCCACGGGACAGCTCAGGTGTAGCAGGTGGCCTCTATTGTCTAATGAGCTGCTCTCTTCTCTGCAACTCTATCAGACACCTGCTGCCTCGGTCTTTTACTTATTTATGTCCGTGAAAATTTGCTCTCGCTCGTGTTTCATTTATTACACACAGTTTTGTAGTTGATACTTTTGTCAGAGTGAAACGTGGTTATTCACGTAAAAAAAAATATTGCGCTTATTCGGTGCTGAATGGGTCACATTGCAATTCTCAACGATCACATCACATTTCGTCCTACTTTTTTGTATGCCATGTTGACCCACCTTGCCCTTCTGGCTCAGCGGTTCTATGGTTAACGTGTCGGCTCCGATATCCACGATAGTGCCCAGCTGGAACCCGTCTGTGGGGTGGGGGGCCCACACTGGTTTCCCGTCCTCCATGGCTTGGTTGTGGTCAGCACGGCCTGACAACTGAATACGAGGACACACGTGCACACAATATTACAATCAACACTTTGCTTTTGCTTCCCTTCTTTGGCTACATACTAAGTGACAAATAGATAAATAAATAAATAAATAAAGAGGCCATAGGTCAATATTGACCAATTCCTCCATTCCAACTTAAAGCAAAGAAGTTTGAAATATTCGTTTGTCTCACTTGATGAAATTATTCAATTTGTATTATTTGTAAAGGGGTGGGATAATCTATCTCTGAATGTTCTGAACTCCTGCTTCAACACCAGCATTGTATGGAGCAAAGGAAACCTTGGCTCAACTTCTCATCCTACGTCATCAGGGACTTGTTTAGACAGCTAATTATTTGCAACTGAGTAAAAAAGCTCCTCTGCTGATTGTAGCCAAATAAGTGCTTTGATTCAGTCCCCGCAGGAATCCGCGATTCCGCGATCGTGGAATTTCACGTAGATTTCAACGCTCTCCGCGGAATTGAAAGCAGTCTGCGGTAACAAGGAATAGGTGCAGAATATTGTGTTTCTATGACGGTTTACAAATATCCAGGTCAAGTGGCTGGTTTACACTTTAAATATCGCTTGTTCTGCCTCAATCCCATAGTTAATTGTTTTTCACTTTATAAGTCATGATATATATCATATATAGATTTTCCCGAGAAGGGAAGAGAATGCTGATATTTCCTGAAACAATTCTTCATTATTACAACTTTATTTATATAGCGCATTTCACAACAGCTGCGGATGTAACATGAATAGATTCAATACAACAAAAGAAAGTGCTTTATAGGTAGTCACTTTATGTCCTTTTCTTAATGCCCATGAAAAATCAACTTTCAAGCGGCGGAATCAAGATTGTCTCTACAGAATCAGGATTGCTCTCTGTAGAATCTGTATTTTTCTCTGCAGATTCCTGGGGGGACTATTAATTGCTGCAAGACACGATTTAAAAAAAAACATTAAAAAAAACAAAAAAAACATTCCATTGACCAAATTCTTTAATTTACTTATAGTTGTCAAGTTACAAAATGACTTAAACGACTTTGTTGTAATAAATGCGTCAATACAGCACCGTCGGGTGTACCTAAAACAAATGAGGCACTTCCTTCTAGTAGCTTGATTTCAAATACCCATTGTGACCGGTTCAGAGTGAAGAAAAAAATTTAAAAGTTCTGAAGGCAATTTTGTGGTAAAGAGTCAACAGTGAAAGTACATATTGCGACCACTACCTTTCTGACTCTAACTGAACTAACCACATTGTTTGCCAGTCCATGTGCTTGCTTTAACAAAGTATGGTACACGGGCTAATGTCAAGTGGCATTTGTGCGTGACTTGTACTCGACCAGCTTCCCGCTCACTTGTTTTCTTAGCAATAGTGAGAGAGGATTTTCTTGGAGCTTTGATTTGACTTGGCTCCTTAGAGAGACAGAGGTTCCAAAATAGGAGACTCTATTTTGTCTTTCTGTCATCGGTTGGTGAACAAAAAAAAAAAAAAAAGCATCATCGGATAGTATATGGCACTGATGCACACTGTTTGCTTTTGAGAAAATGGAATGTGTTTAGGTGCGCCTTATAGTGCGGAAAATACAATCCTCAGTTATTGAGATAGGAGTTGATTATTTGGATAATCGATTAGCTGCCAGTTAATCGATTAATTTTGACACCTCTACTGCCTACGCTCCATTGTCAATAAGTGTAAGAGCGGATGGAAGACATACATAGATATGTTCCTTTGAGTATCGCACTTTGACGTTGTTGAGTAGAGTGGCTTCATTCAAATACATCAGGGAGCCTGAAAAGACACAACAAACAACATGATGTTTTGTAGGACAATAGGTCGAGAGCTGAACATTGAGTTTCACTCACAGTTGTCCTCAACATGTTTGTTGACATCATCTTCTGCAGGAAAAACTTGGCTCATCGGCGCAAGGAATGTCTAAATGGGATGGATATAAGAATTGATGACTTCAGCGTTATGGATTCAGGCAATTGTGCAGGATTTATGACTGATGAATCCTAAATCCTAAATCTAAAAGTAGAATTGAAGGTTTAATTCACAGGTGCCAAACTCAAGGCCAGGCCAGATCCGGCCCACTGCCTCATTTTATGCTGCCCTCGAAAGAAAATTATGTGTGTCAACTTGCAGTATCCTTGCTAAAATCTATCCCGAAATATCTAATTGTCGTGTAATAAATAATGTTAAGATTCAGCAATAATGTTGTTACCCTGTTCACAATAACTGAACGAACTATTATAGTTGAGTTGACTAATTTCAAAACTAGTAACCCATTGATTTGTTGTTTTCAAGTAACAGTGCAATAACATGATTAGACATTTTTGTGGTTTCACTGTCAGGTTCCGCTGTAATCGATTAATTGATAATGACTAATTCCTCATAATCAATCAAGGAAACCTGCATGAGTTAAACCATCTCCAGTCTGAATCGCGGGTAGTTTACTTTTTTTAACGTCAAATACATGTCATAATCTAGTTTGGTTTCTCAATAAGAATAATTCCTCTTTAGTTCTTTGAGTCGCTTATGACAATACACAATGTTCATTAGAGTTGGTGGAAAGTGAAGCGATATTAAACATCATCAAAATCCAATCTTATGCATGCATTATCATGAATCAATTATCTGGCTTTAATATCACAGGAATGGCATCTGGAGGAATACGTTTCCCGGGCATGTGATATTCTCTCTCTATTGTGAAGCATTAATGAAAATGAACTCAATAGAAGAAGCCAGCTGTGAGAGAAACAAGGGCAGACATGGCGCAATGATGAATAATTTGGTGTGAACTGTAACAGGATCTGAACACCTGACTGACTGAGTGAACAAATGATGACTGCACTCTGTGCTGGGCCAGTGGGAACCAATAAAACGGATGCATTATTAAAATAAACCAGACTCCAAATATAACAATTAAGCAGCGGGAGTACAAGCACTAGTATTCCGTCTGAACCTGTATGACACCGTGTAACCTGAATCCTCTTAAAGCACGTAAAATTTGGAGTTCATCCATAATTTGAAGGGGGAAAAAATATGCCGAAAATGTAAAAATGTAACCTGTACTGTTTAATAAAGGCGGAACATATTTTTAATTATAAATCGATCTCAACAAGAAATGTAGTTTTGAATGTTTGACCAGTGTCACAGATTAAAGCAATCAGACCCAGCAACATGATTGCAGAGGAACAACAAACAAAGGTTACACCTTCATGTTCCCGCTTATTCACTCTGCACTGATGCACAGTTTATGATCACAAAAACAGACTGGAAGCAGACACAGAAGTACAATTTGTGGACTCATTGGACTAACTTGGCTCAAATCGGTGACAATAAAAAAAACACATGACAGATGCCAAAGCAACAAAACTGACAAAGAAGCGGCATCCAGGCCGAGGGTTGTGTACTCAGCTCAGCCGCTAACGAGCTCAGCTCTGCAATAAAGAGAAAGTGAGCGAGAGAGCGAGAGAGAGTTAGAGAGAGAGAGAGGGAGAGAAATAAAACGCTCAATGGGCCTTTCATACCCTCATTGAATGGGACACTCAAGCATAAACTTATGAACAAGTTCATGGAGGCCTAATTCAATGCTGAGTGCCGCGGTGATTAAAGAAACATTTCGGTCATGACAGAGCCATTCAGTGGGATTGATGCTTGGGTAAGGAATTTGAGTTGATTTGCCGATTCCCGGATTGTGTTTTGAAACCTATACCCTCCGCCCTCATTATCACTGAAAAACTCAACTATTTGCTGTTTCCGCTCAGACCAAAGCATTAAAAGTGTGACACTGGCACCATCTTGTGGAATATTGTTGGGTTTCATTCATCAATGGTGTTTTTTTTTTTTCTTTCCTCTGCGTTTGAGATGTCCTGTTTTGTTTGACGCTGCTGTAAACATGCAAGCCACGGGACAGCTCAGGTGTAGCAGGTGGCCTCTATTGTCTAATGAGCTGCTCTCTTCTCTGCAACTCTATCAGACACCTGCTGCCTCGGTCTTTTACTTATTTATGTCCGTGAAAATTTGCTCTCGCTCGTGTTTCATTTATTACACACAGTTTTGTAGTTGATACTTTTGTCAGAGTGAAACGTGGTTATTCACGTAAAAAAAAATATTGCGCTTATTCGGTGCTGAATGGGTCACATTGCAATTCTCAACGATCACATCACATTTCGTCCTACTTTTTTGTATGCCATGTTGACCCACCTTGCCCTTCTGGCTCAGCGGTTCTATGGTTAACGTGTCGGCTCCGATATCCACGATAGTGCCCAGCTGGAACCCGTCTGTGGGGTGGGGGGCCCCCACTGGTTTCCCGTCCTCCATGGCTTGGTTGTGGTCAGCACGGCCTGACAACTGAATACGAGGACACACGTGCACACAATATTACAATCAACACTTTGCTTTTGCTTCCCTTCTTTGGCTACATACTAAGTGACAAATAGATAAATAAATAAATAAATAAAGAGGCCATAGGTCAATATTGACCAATTCCTCCATTCCAACTTAAAGCAAAGAAGTTTGAAATATTCGTTTGTCTCACTTGATGAAATTATTCAATTTGTATTATTTGTAAAGGGGTGGGATAATCTATCTCTGAATGTTCTGAACTCCTGCTTCAACACCAGCATTGTATGGAGCAAAGGAAACCTTGGCTCAACTTCTCATCCTACGTCATCAGGGACTTGTTTAGACAGCTAATTATTTGCAACTGAGTAAAAAAGCTCCTCTGCTGATTGTAGCCAAATAAGTGCTTTGATTCAGTCCCCGCAGGAATCCGCGATTCCGCGATCGTGGAATTTCACGTAGATTTCAACGCTCTCCGCGGAATTGAAAGCAGTCTGCGGTAACAAGGAATAGGTGCAGAATATTGTGTTTCTATGACGGTTTACAAATATCCAGGTCAAGTGGCTGGTTTACACTTTAAATATCGCTTGTTCTGCCTCAATCCCATAGTTAATTGTTTTTCACTTTATAAGTCATGATATATATCATATATAGATTTTCCCGAGAAGGGAAGAGAATGCTGATATTTCCTGAAACAATTCTTCATTATTACAACTTTATTTATATAGCGCATTTCACAACAGCTGCGGATGTAACATGAATAGATTCAATACAACAAAAGAAAGTGCTTTATAGGTAGTCACTTTATGTCCTTTTCTTAATGCCCATGAAAAATCAACTTTCAAGCGGCGGAATCAAGATTGTCTCTACAGAATCAGGATTGCTCTCTGTAGAATCTGTATTTTTCTCTGCAGATTCCTGGGGGGACTATTAATTGCTGCAAGACACGATTTAAAAAAAAACATTAAAAAAAACAAAAAAAACATTCCATTGACCAAATTCTTTAATTTACTTATAGTTGTCAAGTTACAAAATGACTTAAACGACTTTGTTGTAATAAATGCGTCAATACAGCACCGTCGGGTGTACCTAAAACAAATGAGGCACTTCCTTCTAGTAGCTTGATTTCAAATACCCATTGTGACCGGTTCAGAGTGAAGAAAAAAATTTAAAAGTTCTGAAGGCAATTTTGTGGTAAAGAGTCAACAGTGAAAGTACATATTGCGACCACTACCTTTCTGACTCTAACTGAACTAACCACATTGTTTGCCAGTCCATGTGCTTGCTTTAACAAAGTATGGTACACGGGCTAATGTCAAGTGGCATTTGTGCGTGACTTGTACTCGACCAGCTTCCCGCTCACTTGTTTTCTTAGCAATAGTGAGAGAGGATTTTCTTGGAGCTTTGATTTGACTTGGCTCCTTAGAGAGACAGAGGTTCCAAAATAGGAGACTCTATTTTGTCTTTCTGTCATCGGTTGGTGAACAAAAAAAAAAAAAAAAGCATCATCGGATAGTATATGGCACTGACGTCTGCACCGAGAGTGTGAAAGCTTTACATCAATGTCATTAACAGCTCTCCGGCGTTAATCCTAAAACAAATACATCACCGCTAAAGCCGGACGCTATGCTGAAATATCCAATTAGGGGTGAGAGATTGTGGTCAAATGTCAAAGGCAATCGGTGTTGCAAAGTGCTGACACAGCCTTCAAACAGAAATGAATCCAGCAAGTTAACTAACTCAGCAGAACTGAGCAGTAAGTTACAGTTCATGGACCTGAATAGGTGTCCTTTCTTGGGGACATACAGTATTCTCTTTCGGGAAGACTGCACGTCTCAAATTAATGTCGACACCACAAAATCTACACCAAATACAAAGCCTTTAATAACACTAGTTTGCTCCAGTAACACACAATGATGATCTTTGTGGGGTTTTGGAAAAATGAAGTACACGTCTTGGCCATCTACGTTTACTGTTCAAGTCAAGTCAAGTACAACTTTATTGTCAAATGCGCTGAATGTGCAACATACAGCACAGATGACATTTCTTTCCTCTCAACCAGACAACAAGACAACAAGAGGATCCGCTGCGGGTGCCCGCGCCGCCATCAAAAGAACAGTTAACATAAAATGACAAAATAATACAACACAACACATAAGACACAGACAGTCGTGCAATCTTAACCTTACTGACAACCTTACTGTTGATTCTGTCTCAACTAGTTTACTCTGTTTAACCGATATCAACATTAAAAAAAAAAATCATCCGCAACATTATATTAACATAACATTGTCAATTAAGGAAATGTTTCTCCGTTGTCTATTAGGGGAATGTGTTCTAATAGCTATGCCTAGTACACAACAAGTAGCCGCATGTCTTGGCCTGGTTTCAGCACACTCGGGTGGTTGCTATTTCATTGACCTCAACACACCTCACATTTGTATTAAGAAGTGACGTGCTTGCAGAATCACCAGAACTATCGTGGAGGTCAGTGATGCGAAACAAATTTCCTCTGGAACAGAGACTATAAGTAGATGAGGGAAATTTATCACAAATATAACCTTTGTATGATCAGTATGCTGTTATCTGAACAAGAACATGCAGTATTAGCAAGAAACAAAAACTATAACTATAATGTTCCAGAACAGGATAAGATGACGGTTTTTTTCCCCCCCTTGTGCGTTATCTTCAACCTCCCAAAGTTAGATCAAGGTTGAAGTCTTTCAGAGTTCCCGCGGATGTCTACTTCAAATGGTCAACCCAATCATAAAGGAAAATGGGTCATTTGGCAAAGGGCGTTTTCATTGAGGAAAGGGCTTCATTTGTACAAATGCTGGCGAAAGAGCAGCAATAGACGCGGCTGTGTTGTTAGTTCCATGTTAAAATGGGAGTGGAACGCGTAATTGCACAGAGTTTCTATTGCTGTCTTATTTTATTCTTGGTTGCGATCAATAATGCAAGTGAAAGTGGAGTCTGAATTAATTGTTCCCTACTTAAGTTGTCACATACGATAGATGCAGACGGATGTGGGAAGCTGGCAGAGTCTATTCAATCCCAGTTATTTGCAGTTGCAGAACGGCTGCAACACCATGTTTGTTTTGTTTGTGACGTGTGGTAAGTCGTGGGGGTTTTTTTCAGTTTAGTTTAAAGAACAAGTACAACAAATGTGTATGCGATAGAGATGCTAAAGAACAAGATGATAACAAAACAGCGTTTAAGAAAAACAGGCGGATAGGATTTAAAGATGGTGTGGTTCATGATTGCAGATCATGTCCACACCATGCACGGTCTTGTCATGTTTATTCACCAGCAAGTTACACGTCGTCCTGTTGCTGATGTCTTGCCATTTACAGAGCTCATACAGTCACATGTTAAGAAAGTTAGGGTAGAGTGACCGTTGGGTGTACCAGTTGGGTAACTGGAAATGTGGCTGTAGCAATTAAGTGGCAACACCTATTATTTTCTTCTTGAGTGAAAAAAGGGGGCATTTATTTGAGGTGAAGTATTGATTAATTTAAGTCGCAATAACATGAGGAAATTGAGGCAATTACAGTAGAGTCAACTATTGACTACATATGGTACATGATGCTACGTGATTCACAGGAGGGCCTTTGGTTTCGAAATGTGCCACATTATAAAGAAGCTGTCACACAATGCGGTCCAGTATAGGACTTAAAGGAGGGCCTCATCCTAAAAGTGGCATCTTGAACCAAATGTGTTGGCGCTCCGCACACACCTCAAATCCTATTAGTATCTGACCCTAATCCAGACAATGGAGGCGAGACAGGCTTCAGGGGGGATGATTAAAACCTAACAAATAAAAAGTCAAGTCATTATTTGAGGTAATGCAAATCAGTGGTACATGTCTAGTACAGCGATGCCGGGTAGGAAATATGAGAATGGATATAGTGCCTGACAGGAACACACACTCTTGTTTCCTGCTACTTGCTTCCTGTTCCCTGCTGGGCAGAGGCACATGGAAAATAAATCAGGATGAAGGGGGACACAGGTTGGGATTTTAAGAGGCGCACATCTTTAAAATAGAGTACAATAGGCAGTCCATGCAATATTGAATACAATTTTATGAATACATGTATGACACTTTTAAAATACTGTACGTCAGCAAAGAGAGTCTCAAAACACTGATTTGAATGTGGCAAAGTTGAGGGCACCCCACTTTCCATAGGCCCCTCAAACCTCTAGCAGCACCCCTGCGTCATCCTAGTTCAAAAGTCGTAGTTTACGTCAAGTCGTTGTGGTCACTTCCAGACTAAAAACACTGCTTGATTAATTTGGCTGCTTTATTGTTTTTATTTGACCAACCGTGACATTCAAGCAAGTCGGGTAAGTTAATTAAGGACCATTAGTGAAGTAACTGAGTTGAGATGCAACTCCAGCCTACCTGTTGCTCCTCCAATGGTGCAATACTCAATTTGCGTCGTGTATCCTTTAAACAGTGGAATTCACGTTTGTGGGGCGCTGGTGACGACTTCAAGGTCCCTCATCCACTCATTCAACCGCAAAAGACTTCAGCGCCGCCGGCGTTTCCCCACCAGAAGTGACTGAGTCCGACCCGAAGACTCAGTGGATGTCGGACAGGCAGTCCAGCAGCAAAGAGGAGGAGCGATACCTCCCAGCCACGGTGCGTTTATTGAACCTCGGAATATCTTGTGACTGATAGTTTCTCCCACTAAAATATTGCGCTGGTGTTTATCTTGCTGTTGTTGCTACGATCCGCTATCTTTGAAATTAATATAATTTCATTTTTTTCCCTTTCTAGATTCGACGTTTCTCGTGATTTGTCTTCCTCGGGAGATTTTTTTTTGTTCTTGGTGCAAGCTAAATACACGAAAACGATCAAGATGACAAACACCAATACACTTTACGTTAGTGCAATATTTCCTGTTGATTGTTCATCTGTATTAAATGATTTAGTAGGAAATTAGTTAACTCAAATTAATAAAATTTTACGTCTGTAGTATTGGCATAGTCGTACATTGTGTCTTCGGCCAGAATACAGTATATATTACTTCATTCATACCACTGGAATGCAGTCAGGGGCCGAGCCCTCAAGCACTGATTGATGCTGCTTTCGAGGAAGGTGCAGGGAATTTCGGACTTTTTCGATCTCCAACCAGGAAAAAGTGCACTGGAACACCCTTTTGAACTGGGGGTCCGAGTTGCGAGGTCGGACTTAACCGACCGTCATGGAGACACAGAGTCTGAATGGCAAAACATAATTTACAATCTTATTCATCTGTATTTTGTCTTTATTTCATAACATGTGACTTGGATACTCAACTACAGTGATTTTGCGCTTAATTTATCCGATTCCAGTTTCTGTGTGTTGCCACGTAAATGTGATCTGCCCAATACCTTCAGAATCCAAAGTGCTAGCATCATTCTTACTCACCCACACATTGATCTGCATTTTTTTCGTCCTGTGATCGGTTGAGCTCCATAGACTGTTACGTTTACCCTTCTGATTGGCTGATCTTAATAGGCGCAGGAATGATTGATTTACAGGACAGGACAATGTCGGATATGATTGACAAATTCATTTTCAAGGTGAACTTTTCAAGAAAAATTGGATTCTTTGAGGTTATGACACGGATCAGCAAACAGAGAGATTCTGTTGTAATACGCTCATGCGTGCTGCTGTTTCGTGACCGACTCACATCTTTGTTGGGAAGGCATTTCAAGTAAGCATTTCCCACTTACTCAAACCAAATCAAACAAAAGGTTTTGTTGATACATATGATACCAAATTAAACTGAGGAAGCAGATGCAAGACGTTGGCGGACGTTAGCACGGAAGTTAGCACGGAAGCTAACTGCGGACGTTAGCACGGAAGCTAACTGCGAACAGACGCTACGCAGCTGAAACCCACCACCAGAGACCAACAAGCCGAACGCCAGCGAGCGTGAGGGAGCCGGAAAACCCACTTGCCACGTCAGCAACACCCAGCAGCAAGACCACTGGACACGTCACCAACTAGCATACAACCGGCTAGCAACGAGACCCGACAAAATGCCACCCAAACAGAAGCAAGACACAAAGCAGGATGAGGACTTCCTGACCCTCACTCAAGTAAACGAATTACTCCAGCAACAAAAAGAGCTTTTTACTGCGCTCTTGCAACAACAACAGGAAAATTTCAAAGGATTTGTCAAGATGATAATCGACTCAACAAACTCACGACTTGACACTTTTACCAGGGAAGTCCAAGAAATAAAAACCAGCATCAACTTTACCCAAAAAGAGGTAGACGACATGAAAAAAAATCTAATCGGCAAAACTGGCCATTCCAAAGACATGCAAGCAGAAATCTACAAAATATGCGACGGCATGCTAGCATTAACAGACAAGATGGACTACTTGGAAGGACAGTCAAGAAGAAACAACTTGGTAATTGATGGAATTGAGGAAACACCGGGAGAAACGTGGACTGAAACAGAGGAAAAAGTTCAAAAAATCCTCAAGGAAAAGCTGCTGTTACAGGGACAAATTGAGGTGGAGAGAGCTCACCGCACAGGAAGACATGAACCTGGAAGACCTCGACCAAGGCCAGTT